ATGTGCCCCAGTTTTTGTGAATCATTACCACCCATCTTCTCCTTCTCCAAGAACTTTGTTCCATTGGATCAAGGGCTATAAGCAAATGTCTCGCACAAAGTTCTAACTCAGGTCAGGTTAGGTACAAAGGTACTGTTGCAATGTGTGTAATTAGGCACCCGATTTTAACATTTGAGAAAAAAGCATTAAATAAAAATTAACCTTTTACTGTCTATCATGAATCTGTCTGTTTTAAGGTTGAGACACTTAATTCCTGCAGTACTTCTATATAACGAATACAGTGTTTTGTAGATGGCTATATCCCTTTTTGGTTACATGTAATATGAGGATTTCATGCAACAACAAAAATACAGTGCAGGCTCAATCCACTGAAGTTCTGTGACTGATATCAATGCAAAACATAGCATCTAAAAGCACTATAATAGCCCCAGCCTACCACACAAACCCCATCCACTGTCAATCATTTAAAAAGAAGTTAAAAAAACACTTGGGACTTGAAAGTTATTAGAAACAGATTCATCTTTGTGATAAGTACACATCCGTATTGCTGCACCTCAAGTTGCTCAAATTTCCAAGATTTAACTTCAACAAGATATGAAATCTCCAAAACCCTGTTGGCTGTGATTGGTCATGCTCTAATAAGAAGAGAAAACCAGGTAAAGAGATGTACGTTGCTTATTAGATTCAATCTTCTATGGCGGGAGCTGATAGCAATGCCTGACTGAACCATGGTTGCGGCATTATTTTTATATTTAGTGTACCTACTATGTGGTATTTTGTTGCAGTGACACAGTTGTTAGGTAATCTCTGTGGAGTTAGATGTAGACCGTTTCAGGCGGCTTATGTCGGTGTTAGCTGTCGGTCAGACTCAGAGACAAAGGTTTGAAATGATTCATGTGTATTTGGGAGGCTCGCACAGCTTGCCCTGATACACTCTATCCTGATCTGCAGGGGTCCTCCTTTCTTGCTTCTAACTGACTGGGTAATCAATTGTGCTGAGGTGGAAGTCTCCCTTCTTCCTGCTCAGTATAATCTCCCCAGGGAATGTGCTGTACATATGTCTAGTTAGTTGTTATTAGTCTTCAAACTACGCAGGAGTCAATGCTGAACCAATGTGTGCTTATTGAACATTATGTCTTGCGCTCAATAAGCCAGTGTCTGAAGGTTGTGGCTTGCTATCACGCTGTGCAGCCTGTAGTTTTTTTTAAATATGTGTCAACCCCCTTCTCAGTTTGATCCTCTAGTTTTAGGGATATGACAAAATGAGGTTCTCCTAAGGCAGCGATTCCCAAAGTGTGGGCCGCAAATGATAGGTCATTTACAATAAATAAATAAAATGTTTTTTATTTTCAATTTTGAAAAGTTTGAAATTAATTTAAAAATATTTATGATTTAAATTACGTGTTATTCCGGCCTTCTTGCCTTGATTCTTGCCTTGCCCATTTGGATCAGTTTGCTGTGTATATTAGGTACATTAAACCTATTTGTAACACTTGTATATATTGTGCAAGGAGTTTGACGACATTTTCTTTCCTTTTGTCATCTGTTTTTGTTAGATAGGGAGTTAGGGAAGAACGTTGTATATTGATTTCATTTTTTGTTTGCTTAGCTTAGTTAGTTTCCTTTTAAAAGTAAGAGGTGTTTTTTTTTTTATTTCGGCCTTGTTGGCTCCTGAAGCTGTTCTCCTAGCCCCAAATAAATACAAAAAAAACAAACGCAAAGTTCGATAGTGGTCTCGCTCGCTCGTGCAAATTTCTGTATTTTACTTAAAACGATTGACAAGATACAAAACGCACATCTTTTTCTCAGTTTAATTATTATTTGAACAATTCTAGCGGCACATTAATTATGTGAAACATTAATTGATGAAGCACAAACAAATTAAACGAACAGATTAATAAAACAATAAGGCTCTCGCTCGAAACGGCTGCTCTTGTCCGCCTGTCATTTTTCAAAAGGCGCCGCCAAACAAAACAATGTCAAATGGGGCGCCCTCTTGTAGTATTAAAGTAAATATATATGAGCTCCAGATAAAATGTTATACAAAACATACATTGTCGGTTAATACATTTTTAAAAGGGTTAAATTCTTAAGGTCATTTAATCATCCCTAGTTTATGTTTTGATCAGAGTTGTGATTAAAGGTTTGGGTGGGCCGCAAAAGATTTTCAGATTTCAAATTGGGCCGCGGCATTCTTGAGTTTGGGAACCGCTGCCCAAAGGGTTTCGCAACGGACACATGACCTTGGATGCTTTACTTCACAGAGTAATGGAGGTGATGGGTATGGCAGTCCATCTGTTTGGGGAACTCAGGGGATTTATTTCTATTTTTTTTTTTTCAAACTGTGTACATCTACATAAATGTTTAATGTCCTTCTGGAAATTAGAGTTACACTGTAAAAATGTAACTGTTGAAAATATTGGGCGCTGTGGTTGCCAGAACTCCACCATAAAGCATCAACGTATTCGACATTATGGGATTTTTTTTTTTTTATTGTAAATTTGACAGTTCAGAACCGTTATTTGTTTACGGTAATTTGCTTTAGAAACAATATACGGTTCAATACCGGCAGCTGTTGTTGCCAGAACTTCACCGTCAAAACCACAAGATCCTATATACATAAGACATTACGCTATGTTTTTTGGCGGTTGTAAATTTTACAGTTCAAAACTGTTATGTTTACTATTAACGGTATGGTGTTTTAGCCACTTTAAATTTCACAGTTGAGAGGTTTTTCATTTACTCCAAATGAAAATGTGTATTGTAAAAAGCTGTATAAATTACATCGAAATCTGATATCATTTCAAACAGCTGTTATACTGTCTAATTACAGTCCTTGTCAGAGATAAACACAGCACTGTAATATTTACACTTTTTTATTACAAAGTTTAAAGTAAATTGCAGGCAGCTGTGGTTGCCAGAATTTCATTGCAAAAAATAATGGATTTTAACTTCTTTTAGTCAATCACAAAGGAATAAAGGATAATCCATGAGTAAACATGATTAGTCCTTTGTCCAGAGTTGATCAAGAGTAATGAATCACTGAGTAAAAAATATAGATAAAAACACATTTTAACAATTTAACAGTTTAACAGAATACAAATATCCTCTTGCCCACTTTTAAGGACTGGTAAGTGGAAGAATTGAAAATCCTGCCAGGATTTTAAACCTGGGCCTGAATGCATCAAGGCTGTTCCCCTCCTCACGTGGAGGAGCTCATTGAGCCTCATAATGGCGTTTCAACGGGTTCTAATTATGGTTTAGTGCTGTAGTGGGAAGTATGAACAGAAACGAGTCCGTCCATTGAGGATTAAATGCTCTACTTTCGCTGTCCACTTTTCTCTTTATGGAGAGCGCCATTTGTTTCTCATTTTTCTCACCCGTCGCTTTCTCCGTGCACTCGTCTTTCTCTCAAATTTCGCTATGTTGCTTTCCTTTCTACCATTTTTTTATTTGTAAGTTGCCATTACCTCTCTCGTTTGTCCACAGTATTCAGACGATATCATCGCCCTGCTTGGAATTCAAAGACTCGATTGGCCAAGTGGTATTACGTGGGATGGTCTTACGCGAGGGTCTCGAACTCATATCAGGTGCGGGCCAGATGCAGCCCACTTCCAACGAATGCGGGCCAGACCGTTACGGTCGACGGGGGGGGGTTACCCCAAAGTCGGTACCCCCCGGCGGGCCTGACTTGCATCAGATCATAAAGTTATACTAGTAGGACAACAAAGAGGGTGATGAGGTCCACATGAAGTATAACTTAATAGTTATTATCATACCTGAACGCGAGGGTAAGGATATGAAACACAAAAGGGAGTGACAAATGGCACCACGATGGTCCGTTTATTTAACACTAACAAAATATATTTTTGTGTGTTTGTTGTGAGTACAATTTTTTGTACAATTAACAGTGATAAAATGTATTCATTACACGATAATAATTTTCTGTGCTGACATATTTACATTGCTTCACTGTTAAATAAACTGAATTCAAGCGATTTTAATTTAAAAGTCTGTTACTGTCAGGATTTGACAGCTTTTCACTGTAAATTTTATTGACTATTTTACAGTGTAGGTAACAAACCACTCAGCGAGCTTTAGGAAAGGATGTTAGGAGTACCTCTACTCCTGTTACTTCTCCTCAATGCATCTAGAACGTAATAATTCTCACTTAAGGAAATCATTTCTCTATCTGAAATACAACAATCATGCACACAATTTTAATCATAGTAATTTAACAAACAGTAGTTCTCTCTCCACTCAAATTATAGATGACCTGTATAGCATTTATTATTAGATACCACCAGATCGTGAAACCTCTTATAAAATAAAACTGATTAGAAATGAGCTGAAACCGGTACTTCATACATCTCCACAATGCTACTTCTCATCCCGGCCCTAACCTTCTCCATTCTCTGAACCACTCCCACTCCAGCCTGTCCAAACTCAAATTTAAAACTTTACCTCCCTTAATGCCTTTGTAGACAAGCTTCTCATTTTAATTTTTTTTTGCAAAAAATGAACATTGGTGCCCAGGGAAGGTATTTGAAAGCCACTTTGCCAGAGATATGAATATCCTTCGAATAGCATTACTCTGTGTGAAACCAGATTAGAGCCCTCACTCAATGATGTGTGTCTTTGAAATATAGTGTAGTCAAAATGTATTACGTAAGTGACACATCCTTTAACCCTTGGCTCAGTACTGGAAGATGTACAATTTGAAATGGTTGTACAGTTGCATTGTCCTACAATTGTGTGGCTATCACAAAAAGGCAACATAAGCCCTCGGCCGTTCACATAGAATAAGCAACCTCAAAACATTTGTGTTTGGTTTTTCAACACTTACTAAATCTGTTGGAAAAATGGTGAATTGTTTTTACTTCACAGGATGCTGCATTTTGAATTGATGCGTCTTTGCATAAACTGTAACATCTGAAAAATGCACTTTGGTGCATTCATTAAATATACCTCTTTCTTCTGTGTCTTATATTCTCTTCTAGGTCTGTTGCTGTGTTATGGAAGACTGAAACACCTCCTTTTCCCTCTTCTCCTTCTCTTGCGGGCTCCCCTGTTGTTCAGCTTTGGTGAACGCACTTGTCCCAATAGCTGCCGATGTGAGGGAAAAACGGTCCATTGTGATTCAGCTGGCTTCTTAGATGTCCCAGAAAACATCTCGGTGGGCTGCCAAGGCCTCTCTCTGCGCTACAATGAACTGCATACCCTTCTGCCATATCAATTTGCTCACCTCGGCCAGCTTCTCTGGATATACTTGGACCATAATCAGATTTCATCTGTTGACAGTCGAGCATTCCAGGGGGTCCGCAGGCTTAAGGAGCTTATACTGAGCTCCAATAGAATCTCATCCCTTCACAACTCAACATTCCATGGAATTCCCAATCTTCGCAGCCTGGACTTGTCCTACAACAAATTGGAAATCCTCCAACCAGGTCAATTCCACGGCTTGCGAAAATTGCAGAACCTGCACCTCCGCTCAAATGGTCTCTCTAACATCCCAATTCGAGCCTTCCTGGAGTGCCGCAGTTTGGAATTTCTGGATTTGGGCTACAATAGAATCAAGGCTCTTACCCGCACTACCTTTTTGGGACTGCAAAAGCTGATGGAATTGCATCTAGAGCACAACCAGTTCTCACGGATCAACTTTTTTCTGTTTCCACGCTTAGCCAATCTAAGATCACTCTATCTGCAGTGGAACCGCATCAGGGTGGTCAACCAGGGCCTTCCATGGACTTGGTATACGCTGCAGAAACTTGATCTGTCTGGAAATGAAATCCAGACCCTGGACCCAGCTGTGTTTCACTGCTTGCCCAACCTTCAAGTCCTAAACCTAGAATCCAATAAGCTGTCCAATGTGTCCCAGGAGGCGGTGTCAGCTTGGATCTCACTGACCACCATCAGTCTAGCAGGAAACATGTGGGATTGTGGAACTGGAATATGCCCCCTTGTGGCTTGGTTGAGGAATTTCCGGGGTAGTAAAGACACCACTATGATATGCAGCAGCCCAAAGAACCTTCAAGGAGAAAAAATTATGGAAGCTACAAGGAATCATGGTATTTGTGAGGAAACTGATTACGTTCTGACTGAAACACCTTCACCAATGTCAGATCTCATTTCTGAAGCCACTGGTGAACCAACCTTTGCCCCCACTAGCGGCTCTCCACCTATGCCACCAGCCAACACATTCGGTCCTGTCCCGCCCTTCAGACCTCGGCCGATTCCTCATCCTACGCTTCCTGGTCATTTGAGCAAAGACCCGAGAGACTCAGTCACTCAAACTAGACCCACTCCTATACCACCCCCAGAGATGGAGCACATGACTCTGCACAAAGTGGTGGTGGGCAGTGTGGCACTCTTCTTTACCATGTCCCTAATCTTGACAGTTATCTATGTGTTCTGGCGCCGCTATCCAGGTGCAACCAGATTACTGCAGCAGCAATCCATGGTGGGACGGAAGCGTCGCAAAAGGAGTCCAGAACCAGAGCAGAACTTGAGCTCCCAGCTCCAAGAGTATTACATGAGCTACAACCCTGCTGCCACACCAGAGGCATTGGAGGTGCTAGGCAATGGCACTGGTTCCTGCACATGCACAATTTCTGGCTCCAGGGAGTGTGAGGTATGATTCATCGCCTCAGCCCTAAAAATAAAAAAGCAAAATCAAAATACAAAGGCTCAACAGAGAGGTAAATCCTTTATCAAGTAAGCCCTAAAAATACACTCTTGCTTCATAGTTAAGCATATTTGACTTAACTTGGCTTAACACACTTCACCTCACATTTTAGATGTGTCCAATTATTCAGGTTTTACTTTTAAAACCTTAAAGTGGAGAAAAAATAATCTGATTTAGGGAAAGCAATATACAACTAGGATTCCGACTAAATTGTTTTGTTCTCTGAAGTTAACTAAGTGTACATTCAATGTGTTAAAGCTATTGTTTTGCAATGTTGTTTATGGTATGTTGACTACACAGGACCATGAATAATTGGACGCTCTCTAACTATTTTGACACTGCATCAGCATGGCATGACCACTAAGCTATTTGTTCGCTGTGTGTTGTTGGACATGTTTATTTTATATATTACAAGGCAACCCTCCATTGTGCCATAACTTTTGTCAATCACTAAGAAACAAATTCATCATTTATGCAACTACACAGTAGGGGATGAACTTGGTTTTGATCAGGATTTGACAGTGTTGCTATCACATGGCAAAGTGAGATATGTTAGCCATATTATGGCACCTAGAAAGCTGAATATGTGAACTTCTTACAGTCTTTCCCCTACCATTGAAGAATATTAGTTTTGACATGGATTTGATGTGCAGAGCCTTAAATCCTGCATATTCTGAATGCATGCAGGCATTAGAGAGTGAATGCACAAAAATGCAACAAATGGCAACATGAAAATGATTTGCATAACACTTGTTCACACACTTTTTTGAAATCATAACTTGCATGATATTGACAATGGAACACATCCAGCCTTTATCACTTTGTATCTATGTTCTCAAGCTACTTGCAGTTATGGGGATTTTTGCTTGTGTCCCATGTTCAGCCGGAGAGCTTGACAGCTACAACAAAGTGGTTTTACTCATTTCCTCGTGATAAGCCTTGGCATTTGAAGCTATAGTGGAATTGTAGAGATAGTTCTGGATTGTGATGTTATGTTCTGCATAAGAAATTTTGAAACAGTATTGTGAGACCAAGTTATTCCGGTTTTATTCTGCTTCACTGAGAGATCCCTTCCGAAATAGAGCAATTCCACTACATACCTCCATATTTTCAAAAGTCTCCATGGCAGGATGGAGAATTTTCCATTTTTCATGTTTGCTGAGAAACACTGTTGTGGCAGGAGATGAGCCACAGCTTGATTCAACAAACGCCAATGTCACCTAGAAAGTATTGAAAACACATAGATTGAAAATGCGAGTTTCTCACATTCTACATATTGCCTGATATGTAAAAGTTAGCTGATTCTCAGAATGGGGAAAAAATAACTTCGTGGTATATTTTTAACAATAAGTAAATACACCCACATGTTTATGTATAATCATCGTCAAGCCGTGCATGAGCAGCCGTTGAATGAGCAAAATCAAACAATGAAAGAACTATTTATTTAAGGCCCGGCTGAAACATGCTGCATTAGCCATGTTTCTGGAGTCAATATGCAGCTTCACAGCATCACACTAAACAAAAGGTGCTGGTCTCTGAATCAGGTTATGATTCCCTCCTCCGGCACTGCAAGTATTTCTGCAGCAATCAGCGTGATTGTATTATCTCTCTCTAAATAACCGTAATCCAAATCTCATCTCAAAAACAATCTTTTCTTTTCCACATCACTGACAGGTGTCTACAGTAGTTTGTTGCTGGGTGGGCTCTGCACTGTTCCTTATTTCAGGCGTTTAATAATTGAAAAGCGAACGTAAGCCGAGTTTAGTTTGATGAAAGGGACATCTTGCTGGCCAGCCCAGCCGACGGTGCTTTTCATCATGGGCCTGTGCAGCGCCAGCAGCCTCTGTGGATGGCAATGTGGAAGAACAAAAGGCAACACAAAACATCCTCCCTGTTGGAGGATTCAATGAGGTATTGTCAAGACCGGCATTGAATGCTATCAGAGCCCAGCAGGAAAAGAGTTTGAACAGAACACTGTGTGTTTCACTAACCAAACTTAAAAGCCCCCTCAAACCCAGAAAGGGTATCTACTCCGGCTGATTTGGTCTTTTGCCCACTTAAGCATTGGATGCAGCTATACTGGGAGTCAGATCACCAGAATCCATTTACTAATACCTCATTGTCATCATATTGTAAAAATGTAAATGTGAGCCGTTGAATGTGAAATTCAGTTAAGGTCTTCTGAGTAGGAGCAAGTCAAGATATCTCACGAAATGTCTCCACTTGGAGAAAGACACTTCAGAAGTTTGAAGAAATGGATAACAAAGAGACTTTAAAGCCATCGGCTCAGACACTAATCTGATAATTAAAAGATAGCATACACTGGTTAAATCTATTACGGCTGAAAGAGTAATTCACTATTAAAGTGCAGTTTTCAATTTAGCAGAGCCACAATTTGAATTGTTAATTGAATAATTAGCAGTGCTCTTATAAGTGGGTGTGAGGCGAAAAGTTGATTCATGAAGGAGACGCTTGTCTTGTTTATTTCAGAATGAAGAGATTTCAAAAGGTGTTTAATCTCCAAAGTAGGCCAGTGTGATGATTCCGTATAGAAAATAACATTGACATGTTGTGTCAATGTCAGAGATATAAAAACCCTTTTTGCCTGATTATTTATATATATATATATATATATATATATTATAGACGTCATGACCATACCGTGAAAATTAGTGAAAATAAGCTTATAACTAGACAGTGTGAGCTTTACTTTGTTTGTCTGAAAGTCTATCATGAGCAGATAAAACACATTGGGACGCTCTGTATAAACTGATAAACCAGGTTAGTAGTTAAATATTTAGTTTGGTTTTCAGACAGAAATGTCTTCAAAAAGTCATGGTTCCATTGGGGTTTGTCTAAAGAAATCATGTCATGGAATGACTTCTTAAATTAAGTCTGACTGAATTTCAACCACTATTACTCTAAAGAACACATTATTGTTGTGTTGAAAGATAGAAGATTTTCTCTTGAAAAATAATCCCACCATGTGAGGTTTGTATTAAAAAGGCTGCATTTCACTCTCAGATTATGGAATACCTTTATATTCATTTAGTCCATAAAACAACGGACGAGGTCCCAGCGAGTACGTCAATGTGGTTGAGTTGTTGTAAGGTTGTAACCACCTAGTTTGTGTTACAAGGATATCCATTTGGTTATGGTCAAGGAACAAAACTCTAATTCACTCTACTTTCAATCCCTTTTAAATTAAGGAGTATTTATGAGATTACAGGTCATTGTTATTGATCATGAGCACAGGCATCAATAGAAGTTTCGTTGGAATCCTAGCAACACCCATCCCGAATGATAATTTATCTCATTTTTGACCAATGTCTTAAACTGGACTACAGCATTGAAAACGCTGAAAGCTCTGAAATAGGAGTATATTACATCCAATAAATATGATGTTCTTTTAAAAAACCATCACACAAAGCAGCACCGGTAAAAAATAGATTAGCCAGTTCACCATCTCCCTCCAGTCTTCTCCTCAAGCACTCCCTTCCTCTTGGATATCCTGCGACTGTACGCTTCCTCCCCTCAGACAGCATTGAAGAGAGAAGGATGTCACAACACTCACTTTGCATGTCCCCTAGCTAATTTCCCCCTCCAGTTCCGTTTAACTCCATATGCCTTCTGCCAAAAAACCCTCAGAAGCACACTTTTATTTAACGGGTCCCTCTCGCTTTTACTTCATCAGTTTTAAGAAACCATGAAGAGCTTAAATGCGGCGGGCGTTCGCCACGGAGCGAGTTGCAATTAATATACAGTACGTCTCGGAGGCTAGTTAAGACGTTTGTTCTCCGATCCCAGCCGACCACCGCTTCCCTCGCACGCACTCACACACACTTAACACAAATGATCCCTTCCAGGCAACAGACAGCAGCTGTGAATGTGTACATCATAAAATATTTTTTGTCCTTCAATTATTAAAAGCATCATATCTTTGATCAACCATGATAGAGCTTTAAAATAATGAATTATTGATCATATTTTACAGTTAATATAAAAAGCTTTGTTTCTTTAAGTGCAGTGACCGAGAAAATGCTGCTCCTGTCAGCCAATAAAGGAATTGCTGGTAAAGGAAACGGGGGGGGATAATTAGGGCAAGATGCATGTTTGTGTCCGCTTGGCTCGAGTGTTTTTCTGCTCGACGGAACAGGAAAACTGAAAAAAAAAAAACACCTTGTTTCATCATCATATTATCAAACAGCTGCTCGGACGACAATGCCGGCCAACCTCTTGGTGAGAAGTATTTCCAATTATTTAGGGCAAGTGCCTGTTAGATATCTCAGAGGGGTAATTTCATGCCCTCTTCTCTCAATTGCCGGGTCATCCTTTAAAAAACCTCTCCCTGCAGAGGCAGTACTGGATGATGATGCATGTGCTGAAATGTTGTAGACGTGGCTCTTTCTGCCATAGGCGCCCCTCCCTATTGCACATGCAGAAATACAGTCACACGTACACACAAACCCCAATGAGGCGTGTATTATTAGAAGCATCTGGAGCTTGGCTCGGCCCTGCAGCAAAGACAAATAGGGATCTTATGTTTTACTAGATATCAGAAACACGGAAAGAGGAGATTCTACAGCATATTTTTTTGAAACAGTGTCTTTTTATTTCCTGAAAGGGAACGCATTGCTCAACCATATAAAGAAAAAGTCACCACATCTATGGCCCTCTTTATTTTCCCAAATTTAATTTCACCCTCCTTTCCCCTCTTGCCAGAGGCTTCGACAGCCCCCGCGTAGCTCGTCCTCTGACAGCACTATTAACCCACTCACCTTCACTTGTTTTTTCAAAAACCCACAATAGCCTCTTTCCGCCACAGTTCACTGGCATGAACACATAACCGTCTCTAAAACATGCAGGTGCTGTGAGGGGATATGTAACTAGCAGCGACCAGGCTCCAATTCTTGAACACGTACTCTTACACTACTCCACCGAAAAGTGTAAGTGTAATTAAAGTGGACAACACTCTGTGACCACGCACGCTCACACGTCTCTTTTTCTCTAAGT